TGGAGGAAATATGCAAGCCTGTGCGTGATGGTATTGCGGCAAGACATTGACGATTTGAACAAAGAATTGCAGACAATATTTCTACAGTAGAAAGGAACGGGGGATGATACAAAACAGTGTGAATAAGGGTTACGGGTTCTCGTTTGTCTGCTTGTAACCGAATGGGGGGAGAGGGAGCTGTTAAGCACTTAAGCAGGCTGTCACAGGCGGAATGAGGTTAAGCACTTAAGAAAACTCTCCCAGAGGAGTCCAAAAATCTGTGGGCTCTGAAACTTAATGACCGCTCCCCAAGAACCCTCTGCATTTAATTTAATGTTGCTTTGAGCGAGCTTTGGAGGGTCGAATTTTCATAAGACATATTTGATTGTAGATAAGACGCTACCCAGAGATTTCAGCCTCATTTTGTGAGGAATTTTTTATCTGGGCTTCAAGGTTTCACATAAGCACAAGCCCTTATGGTTATTTACCCCTCCCGATAACGAGAGAGCACTTTTGACTAAGGAGAGCATTAAGAATTCAAAATTGAACATATAATAGCAACAAACTTAGTATTTAGTTGTAAAATTGATTACTTTGAGCTTAAACTAGATGGTTGAGGAATGAAGACGAAAACCGATGAAGATCTTATGCTTTCGTCATCCCGGACCGTCGTGATCCATGATCTACTTAGAGGAGGTAGACGACCCAACGTAACAGAAGGATTCTTGTCAGTAGTCGTAGGTTGCGTCGTTCAAGAGAACCTTAAGATCTGGGGTAGTTATTTGTCTAAGGGAATAAATTTAAGTCGACCTTAGCAAACAGAAGAGAATGCGTCAATCAATTGTATCATTATGATTCACAACTCAAACGGTAGAAAATCGTTGGGAGTCATACGAGTTGCGGTCGAGACTATAATATAATAGTGTCATTTGACACAACCACTCAATTAGAAAGCACTGATAATGACAGCAACTTTGTGGAGCCTTTGGGTCAAACCACGCGGACGGAGAACTCGGATCACATCCTTACTGGCATGAAATTACTTTGATTGTAAATACAGAGGTGCGTTTGATATGATATTCGCACTTTATGAGTTGAACTCAAATCAAAAGTTTGTCACCCACGACAAACTGTTGTGAAGTGTGGATAGAATTTATTTTTAGATTTTAATAATTTAATTTAACTTGAGTGTTTTAGTTGACTATTTTAAAAATTTTAATTTAAAAGATTGACCTATCCGGTTGAAATCTTAGATCCATGCGGTCAACATGAGGGATTTAAGTATTAGAAACTTTTATATTTGAACAACGGTAACATTTAATTTTGTGTTTTCAAACTTAAAAGTTATTTCAACTCCTATCTTTATATGTAGGAGAATCAGACTAGGTGATTTGGACTTATAAATTCTTATTTTTTGCTCAAAAATAATGTGATAAGTTAATACAAACCCTATATGGTAGCATTTCAAATATCAAACTTATTAAAATAAATAAATAAATATCATATCAAGTTCACTCTGATCAGATAGCCCATCAATAATGAATAAGTGATGCATTATTTTGTTCCTTGCTCCCAATCAAGTGAAAGGCTTCATCTTCGAGAAAGCGAGCACTAATTTGAAAGTGGTATTTGTTACTATAAAGGCATGGTTCGCCAATTAATATCACTAAATAAACACTTTAGCATAATTATGAATAACAAAAAAAAGGCATTGAAGGAAGTAATTTTTTATTTTCATGTCATCAAACAGCTTTATCTTTTAGCCCTACACGTGGCAAGACAATGACATCAGTATGAAAAGCATCCAAAGGTTCTCAAGAACAGCTTGTTGGTCATCGAAGTGTTCCTCGTTCTCAGGAGGTTTCTTCCCATTCTTGGAAATCTCTTCTTAAAATACTCTCCCACAACCTTGAGAATTGCTCACCATCCGCATTGTTCACTCAATATTTGCACAATCTACCTAGGCCTTCAAGAATACCCAATCTAGCTACTCATTGCATTGCACAACAATTTCAATGATAGTCGATGCATTAATGACAGCATTAAATGCACATAAGCGTGTTGGTTTTCTCGTATGATGATTGATATTCAAGGAAAAAATGTTATTGTTTCAGATCCACAATAAATTGCAAAAATTATTATTGTCGCCACATCTCATTCAATCCAATCACACCCCACTTCCATCATTGGAAACTCAAAACTTCTAATTGATGATCATGTCACCAAGACTGGCAACCAAAGCCTCAGCTAGCATTACTGTCAAGTTCTTCTCCAATAAATACCTATGAAGAAAATATGACAAGCGAGTGGAACAACAAAAGATTTGCAATGATATTAAATCCACACTTAAAAAAAATGAACCTAACAGCCATACCACCGCCACTTCCATTTTATGGTTTTTATTTCATTTTATCTTATCAATCATCTCTCTCTCTCTCTCTCTCACATGATATTGACTAAGTTAAGTCATAGTCAATTCTTCTCAAATCTCAATGGAACCATTTTCTTGTCATATTAGGCAATGCCACTTTTCACTATTAAAAGATGAATAGATAGGAAAAGATGTATGAATGTCATATTACTTACTTTTGTAGCAAGGATGAGACACAAGAAGGATTTCAGTAATCTATACACCCTTCCACTCATATTACAATCTAATAAACATTCCTAGCCCTAAGTATATAACCCTATTTATAATAAACAACAATAATAATAAAAAGACTAAATTGGCCTTAGACGGACAAAAGGCTAAATTACCCTTAGATGCTGGCATAACAATAAAACGTTTTCCTCATATTCTTCACGCTCAATCTCTTTCCCTTTCAATCTGGCTACAGATTCTCTGGTCAAACCTTAGGGTTGCAAATTGAGTCGTCAGCAGGGCCTTGGATTGCATCTCAATAAGTTTCCAAATCATCTCATCCAAGCTCTCGAATCAATTTTCAATGGAGGAAAACATTTATTCTATGGTTAAGAGCATTTCCCCCATCTCAGATTTATGTTGTCCTACTTCTGATCTCTCTTCCAAAACATCAACTTTCCTTGTCATTACTCCCAGGAATTTTTTTTCATCATGGAGGCGAATTTTATGCACGGCAAATTTCCATCGTTGACTCTTTCCAGCACGCAAATCGCCAATTGGACATGTTGTGATCCTTCCTTGTACTCGTCGCAATCCTTCCATATAATTGTCACAATCCTGAGGTCGCTTATCAGATGGCTCTATCGCGAGTTTCAATGAAAGGGGCACATGTATACCACGACCCGTCAGTCTTGCCAGCAACCTCAGAATCACAATTATTTCTCGTGTCTAGGCCACGCACTTCCCAGTTTAACTCAATCGCGTCTCTATTGTGAGGTTCGATCACGAAGGTTGCGACGACCCCAATTTTGGTTTTTCCTCTCGCTAAATAACTATTGTCTCGCAAGCTGGCGATCCTGTCCAACCTGATAGCAGTGATCTGGTCATTTCTTCCAAAAATCTTGTTGCTCAGATAACAATTTCATACGGTCGGGAATAAATTTCATACAAAAATCAGGTCAAGCATATTTTATTTAACGAACACCAAAATCAAAGCAGTATAAAACAAACACATAAACATAAGCACCTATAATTCAAGAGGTATGTGATCTCTCTCTCTCCCAAATCCTACAATTCATCCTACAATTCAAGAGGTAGGAAACCTCTCCTAAACCCTAACCCTAAGACTCAAGAAGACAATCTCATGCATAATCCTAACCTTAAGCATATTAGCCCTATTTATACTAAACAACAATAAATAATAAAAGACTAAATTTCCCTTAGACCCAAAAATGCCTATGTTGCCCTTAAAAAAAAAGCGTAACAACTACATGATCCATTTTCTTATTTGTCCAAATATTGGACTGAAAATTTGCATTAATTTTATTAAATGTGTATGAATCAATATAGATGAATCCCCCACTAACTCTAGTTGGTTCTAGACTTCAACATCAACCTGGTTTGGGCATCTAACACTTTAGTGAGCAACTAAAATCCAAACTTAAGCCATATTCCATTTCTTCATAACAATTTCCCTCCTCCAATGGTGTTTCTATCTTTTAATCTTCTAACAGTGACCTTATCTTGCTTTCAGACATTTCATCTTCCTCTAGTCTTTTATTCGCCTTTTTGTAATGATTCTCAATGGCGACACAAACAAAGGGATGATGTTGACAATCTGTCATATCGTTGAAATTCTTTCCCCTACAATTAATGTTTGTTTGTTACTTGTTATTAACAAAGACCTTGTTTTTCTATTGTTTGCTTCTTTAATAGTTAATCATGTTATTATATAAATCTTTGCAATTGATTTAAATCTAAATAGCAGTACAGATCTTTGCATTTGAATCAAATCTAAATGGCAGTTAATAATTTTAAAGACATTTGATTGTTCTCCGTTGTTTTAAGAAAATTGGTGAAACTTCTTAAAACTATCATTTGATTGGAGGTAGTTAAAAATTGACATTCATTTCAAATTACGCGAACCTCTTCAAAAATCCAACAAATACCCTCATTTTTATACAAGAAAATGAAGAAAACAAAATCATGCTATAAATTGAAAGCATATTTTGAAAAATAGTAACATTTGTTAAATCTAACATTTAGTTGAATTTAACAAAAAAATAAAAAACAATATTTATTTTCAACTCCAGATACATCCTCAAGTAGATCAAGGACCAACATTAATCAACCTTGCAAATAAACTTCATAGCAATAATATGAAAAAGGCATGCACAACGAAGATGCCTCCATAAATTTATTAGTTAACTCCTTATAGCACATACAAATAGCATTTTAGAAAAAAAGCTGTATGAAATGATTCTATAGCAGCTAGTAGATGAACACTAAAAACAAAAAAGAAATGCAAACAGTTTTAGGCCTGTTCCATCCCATTTTATTTGTTCAAAGGAAAACCGTATCCAATACTACTTATTAATCCTAGAACTTTAAATTATCTATAAAAATGTAGAGCAAAATAATTTGCCGGAAATAAATTTACCTGGGATTGCATGTAAGCCGCGTCATGAGAAAAAGAACTGCGTCGAAGAAACTGTAAAATTCATTTTAAAACTTGGCCAATTATAGACAATAAGAAAAAGGAATGGAAACAGAATTACAAGTAGATCAAAAACGTTAAATTAATTGGGGAAAGTACTTTGATCGGTCCTTGTGTGCTGGCACCAGCTTGGTTTTCAGCTTGAAGTTCCATTGCTTCTCTTTTACCCAGGTTATCTGCTGCCTTTGTCGACGCCTTGTTATCACCCTGTAAAATATGAAGCAAATGAACAGTCATGAAGAAGTTAAACGACAGTAGAATGTGAATAAAAAAAACATATCCTTGAAATGTCAATCCACTTTCACAACAGAAGCATTAGTACACATTATTTGCTTTGAGAGAACAAAAGAAAAAATATATTAGTAAATTTGACGGTAAGATTGGAATGAAAGCCGGTTATGTTTGAATTCAAAAACTCTCCATGATTTCAGCTGTTGCCGACCCTTTCTTTCACCGTGCTCCTTTGTTGGAAACACCGCAATGCATAGCATCTTTAATTCAAGCCTTCAGCAAAATCACGTTTGATCCATGTCTCCAGTTCGCCACACCCTATTTATCCCAGCACTAATTTCCATGTGCTTACAATAAATTTTTTGTTGCCCATGAGTTGTCATGTATGCTCTAATTTGAACATCAATTCATTCAAAAGATGTACCTCCAATTAGTCTAGGCACTCACGCCATCTAAAAAAGAAGGGGAGCAAATATACTTTAATTACTTCCTATTTTAGTCCATTAATTGCATTTTTGTATGTGTCTAAATACCAAGTAATATAACATGAAATTTAGGATAAAATCTCTTCTCTTATTATATTTTGTTCATGGTATTATCCGGGTGATAATCCAAAGTTAAGTATAGATCAGAGGAAGCCATGAAGAGTTGGCTACAAATAAACTCTCCTCCACGAGAAGCACGTCCTTCCCTAATGCTGATCAATTGTCATCCAAAATACGAAGGTCAATGCCAACAAATCACTCAGCACAAAATAGAATTAATCCTCTTAAATGGGTTAAATTAATTGCCAAGCGAAAGAGGGAAGGCCAAATACCTAACAAGAACGAGAAGATAATGATAGAATAATGCATTTAATTACAATTATTGGGGAGCCAAATTCTATTGACATGGCTTGAATTATAAATTCCATATAAAGCAAAGGTTGGAAAAACCTTCCAGGTTTTTACTTCCACTGAACTGCAAAGAAAATTTGGGATGTTCTTCAGAGAGTAGATTTAATATCAAAAATACTAAACAAGTAGCAACATTGAATACAGCAACTCCTTAACTAAATATTAGATGAAAACGGATCATTCATAAGAAGACGAAAGGAGATGTTTGGTGATGTAGATAAATATAAAATAATTTGAAGACAATAAATATTTGCTTTCCTGCAGCGCTCAACACCAAGATGAAGTTTGGAGAAAGTTATTAGAATGAAAAATTCCCCTACAAATAGGGACACTTTCTTGAAGTAAAGAAAAATATAAAATGAATGCGGGCAATGATGAGTCAAACACCAAACTCATTCGATACACAAAGCTCAACAGTTGCACGGTCACAACAAGCGTTGGATTCACAACAATGGACACCTTCATAAAAGACAGAGGTCGAACCTCTAAAGTTAAATAGAAAGAATGGCGTGAGCAATGAGCATTGTCACAAACCATATCACTTGTGATCAGTGCTGAGAGATGCATAAGAAACCAAAAAATTGGAAGTCCACTGATGCTGGAGCTATGAGAGCAGACCTTTCCGTGTTACTGCAGTTACGTGGTATCGGGCCTCCGATCGAAGCCACAAACTAACAGGATTCCTTTCGATATTTCTTTTCTATTTTCTTTGCTTTTTTTTTTTTTTTTTCTTGAGCAAGTTTCCTGCTTTCAGCTCTTTTTTTGGTTCATACATATTTCTCTAGTTTCTAATTAGATATTTACTATGCGGGGACTTTTATATGTGGGGGTTTTGATTTTCAGTTTTTTTTTTTTAAATCCGACGAATTGAGAAGTGTATAAGATGTTGATATGAATTTTATATGCAGAAAATATAAGAAATCTACATTTGATTTTTATTGATTTAGAAAAAAAAAGCTTACAATAAGGTTTCAAGAGATATCCTTTGGAAAGTTTGTGAGAAGAAAGGTGTTGATATGAATCATATTCAAGTCATTAAAGATATGTATGCTAGAGATGCTACTTGTGTTCGAATTGAAGGAGGATTGACCAAATATTTTCTTATTTCTGTTGGATTACATCAGGGATCGACTTTAAGCCCATATCTTTTTGCTTTAGTTATGGATGGTCTTACTGGGCATCTACATGAGGATGTACCTTGGTGTATGCTTTGGAGTTTAAAGGCCTTCATTTAAGTAGAACTAAAACTGAATACATGGAATGTAATTTTAGTAGTAGCTCTAGTGCAGAAGTGTGACTTTGGGTGATCAAATCATTAAAAGGTGTGAACGATTTTGATATCTTGGGTCTGTTGTTGAAATTGATGGTGATATAGGTGGAGATGTTAATAGTAGAATTCAAGCTGGTTGGTTGAAGTGGAGGAATGTTTCAAGTCTTTTGTGTGATAGAAATATACCACTTAAACTGAAAAGGAAAATTTTATAAGATGGTGGTGAGACGGTGAGACCTGCAATGCTTTATGGCATTGAATGTTCGCCTTTAAAAGAGAAGCATAATACTAAGTTAAGTGTTGTAGAGATGAGAATGATCAGGTGGATGAGTGGCTTTACACTTAGAGACAAAATGTGAAATAATTATATCCTTGATAGGTTGGTGTAGCTCTTGTGACAGACAAAATTAGAGAAAGTCGTCTTAGATGGTTTGGTCACATTAAGCGTCGACCATCTGATGATCCAATTATGAGAGTACATGTTTTAGATTTGACTTATATTAAGAAAGGCAGAGGTAGACCTAGGAAGACTTAAACTTATTGTACAAAAAATGATCTAAAATTATTAGAAAAAATTGAAAATATGACACTAAATAGGACGCAATAGAGAAAATGGATTCATGTAGCCGACCCCACATAGTGGGATTAAGGCTTTCTTCTTCTTGTTGTTGTTGATGAATTGAGAAGTGTTTTCTCTGAACTTTGCTCTCCAACGTGTTATTTTCCTTTTACAAATGATGTGACTGTACCTTAGGAACATATTGTAGAAAAGCCTCGCCGCCCGTATATCGTTGTATCCCACTGATTTTCAGCCTAGCAGCAATTCAAGCCCCTGC